ACGAGTACAACTTCCATTCCATTTGTATTTATTTTTCTTTTTACATAGTTATGTGAGTGGACACATATACATTAGTTGCCAAAATAATTAGATATTCCTCTCACATAGTTATACAAAGTAACAGTACAAAAAAATTGTAATATTGTCACAACACACACAGAATGGACTCCAATAAGTGCAACATATCAAAATCATACTGTGCACAATAATTTGAAAGTCTTAGGTGGGATAAAAGCACAAAAATCATACTTACAGAATTAAAAGAAAAGTCTAGTTTGTATCCAGTATGCATATAAATATGTTACGTGTACCTGTATAGTTCTTCTGGTTATAAGTGCAATGGTTTTGGCACTACTAAGCGTAAATTTAGGCTGTGTGATTTCCCTTATTCTAGCATTAGGGGGCAGTAGAATTACACAGATAAATGGGTCTAAAGCATATATTACAATATTGTATCAGCCTCTCTTATCCACAAACGTAAGTGCAGTCTTGAGTTTAAATTAAACTATGGCTTTTAGACAAGAAATATTAATGTTAATGTAATATTCTCCATATAAAAAGCATAGCAATGAATGTGCAGTACATGCACATTAGAAGGGACCACTGTTTAGAGAGGATTGCTGATATTATGCAAGTACTGGCTAGTCTGCCCTAGTCAGGGTCTGGCAAACGGATAAAGTGCTCCTTAGCTCTGTTTGTAGTAGATATGTAAATCTTTCTAAATTTCCATTAGAGTTAAACAATTCTGTACTTGCTGTGTGCACACACTATACAGCATTGCAGAAGATTTCTTTTCTTTATTTACCAGAAGCGATACATTGAGATTTTTCTCATTTCCAAGTATATGCTGGAGAGCACATACAGATATAATAATAATAATAATTATTATTATTATTATTAATAATTATGTATACAGTACCGTGATAAATTCATTATTCACATATAATAGACAAATACAATATTATAAATTAACAATGTAGGTATTTGCTTTTTGATTTTTCAGAGCAGATTTGCTATTCTCCAGGAGGTTATTTCAAGTATGCAGGGTTTTATAGGAGAAAGCTGATTCCTTATATATGTAAAACCCTACATACATATATAAGGGTGCAGCTTTCTCCTATAATACCCTACATACATATATAAGGGTGCAGCTTTCTCCTATTAAACCCTACATACATATATAAGGGATCAGCTTTCTCCCATAAAACCCTACATACATATATAAGGGATCAGCTTTCTCCTATAAAACCCTACATACATATATAAGGGATCAGCTTTCTCATATTAAACCCTACATACATATATAAGGGATCAGCTTTCTCCTATAAAACCCTACATACATATATAAGGGATCAGCTTTCTCCCATAAAACCCTACATACATATATAAGGTATCAGCTTTCTCCTATAAAACCCTACATACATATATAAGGGATCAGCTTTCTCCTATAAAACCCTACATACATATATAAGGGATCAGCTTTCTCCTATAAAACCCTACATACATATATAAGGGATCAGCTTTCTCCTATAAAACCCTACATACATATATAAGGGATCAGCTTTCTCCTATAAAACCCTACATACATATATAAGGGATCAGCTTTCTCCTATAAAACCCTACATACATATATAAGGTATCAGCTTTCTCCTATAAAACCCTACATACATATATAAGGGATCAGCTTTCTCCTATAAAACCCTACATACATATATAAGGGATCAGCTTTCTCCTATAAAACCCTACATACATATATAAGGGATCAGCTTTCTCCTATAAAACCCTACATACATATATAAGGGATCAGCTTTCTCCTATAAAACCCTACATACATATATAAGGGTGCAGCTTTCTCCTATAAAACCCTACATACATATATAAGGGATCAGCTTTCTCCTATAAAACCCTACATACATATATAAGGGATCAGCTTTCTCCTATAAAACCCTACATACATATATAAGGGATCAGCTTTCTCCTATAAAACCCTACATACATATATAAGGGATCAGCTTTCTCCTATAAAACCCTACATACATATATAAGGGATCAGCTTTCTCCTATAAAACCCTACATACATATATAAGGGATCAGCTTTCTCCTATAAAACCCTACATACATATATAAGGGATCAGCTTTCTCCTATAAAACCCTACATACATATATAAGGGATCAGCTTTCTCCTATAAAACCCTACATACATATATAAGGGATCAGCTTTCTCCTATTAAACCCTACATACATATATAAGGGATCAGCTTTCTCCTATAAAACCCTACATACATATATAAGGGAGCAGCTTTCTCCTATAAAACCCTACATACATATATAAGGGAGCAGCTTTCTCCTAAAACCCTACATACATGGAATAACCTCCTAGAGAATATATATATATATATTAGATTTTCATTTACAATGACGTGAAGTTATATTTTCTTCTAACCATCGTACTGTCTCGGAGAGGAACGTGACAGCAGGAATCACATAATTTAGTCTCTTTGATCATCTCAATGACATCAAAATTATTTTTAAATTCTTACGCTTCTCTGTCTGACTAAATAAAAAAATAAAAAAAAGTATTTAGTAAGTGTGTCTATAGGCTCAGTGTGAAAGCTATACATCTTTAGCCAGAGTGCATTTTGGAATTCTGATGTATCAGTTTTTAACTCCAACACACCAGATTCAGACTCCTGTGTCCTGCGACAGTTACTGATCATGCAGAAAATAAAGGCACATCTACACCATCAATGTGTGATTAAATAATCTGCTTTGTTCCATGTAGGTAATGACACGGAAGGAGGATATGAGCAGTTGGAAGGAGACAGAAGGTTAGAAGCCTATTACTTAACCAATAATCATCATATGATAATCAGGAAGCTAGCCTCTTTCTCAAAGCATTCATAGATCTGGAATAAAGCACGGGTAGGTGCTCTTACAATTAAAGATTATTTTCGCAGGCCAAGTATAAATGGTGCCAAGCATGCTGTCACTCAAGTAAGGATCTATACACTAAACAGTGAGTTCTAGTGACAGGGGACCCAACTAGAAAGATCGATTATTTAAGCTGAATAGAAATCTGCAAACAAAACTGATTTGGGAATATTTTACTGACTTTGTTAGTTTGTCTACATTCTTCAAATTGGGGCTATATGTGGTACAGCTTACTATTTAGTAAATATAACCCATGGTTTATCAGTTTGTTAAATAGAGGGATCCAGACTCCAATGTCAATGTTAGCATGGTGCAGGCCTCCACTTAAATGTTTTAAATGTTCTCAATCTCCACCTTGGATCAGTGATGGATTCAGTGAGGGAACACCAGTCCAAATGCTCCCCCAAAGCAGCCAGGGGAGTTAATGTCTTGCTGACAGGAGGCACTAATTGAGGGGTCACCCCCACTCAGTCGCCAAATGTCTGCATTCAAATATGTTAAATGCCCTCTTCCCTCCACACTGGTGTCCCCTCACTGAATCCACCACTGATCCAAGCTGGAGAAGGTGGAGAATGAGAACATTTAAAACATTTAAGTGGAGGCCTGCACCATGCTAACATTGACATTGGAGTCTGGATCCTTCTATTTAACAAATTGATAAACCATGGGTTATATTTACTAAATAGTAAGCTGTAATGCATATACCCCCGATTTGAAGAATGTAGACAAACTAGCAAAGTCAGTCAGGCAGGAATCAGGCTGCCCGTGTCATGGCAGGAGCAGAATGCCTCGCTGTCAGGAATATTCACTAAGGTGGGACTTGTCAGGACTTCATATTGCAATTCAAATGTAAAGCCAAAATAGCTGAACTGGATAAAATCTCCAAGTCAGGGTCCAGGGATGCTTCTAGGTCGACTGCTTCAGCCTTAAATTTGAATTTCACTGTGAATTTGCAACAATTCTCAGTTTAGTAAGTAGCCTTGTGTATGATGTATGATGCATATTTGTAAATTTGCGCATGTATACTTGTGTGGATGTATGTGTCCAGCTTTTTAAAATGTGTATATCCACTCTTGGTCTGTATAAGATACAATTGGGCAGGTTTGTTTTTGTGATCCAGATCTGTCTATGTGCTTGTGGATTTTTTAAAACTTTTTCTCATTTTACAGGGCATCACAACTAGTCTAGTGTTTTCAACGAAAGCGGGAGGCAAACTTTTCTTGGGGTTATTGTAATAATAGTCTTTAATAACGTTGGAATTACCCCTGACTACAACTGTTGGTGGTGAGGATATTTGTTAATCTGTCCGCTCTACAATTCGTTACTGTACTTGTTTCTGTCATTCTTTTTGTATTTTTTGTTGTTGTTTTTGATTATATGTAGTTATTGTTTGGTGCTGTCCTTCCTCCCCAGCGACAGTGTGTATTACAGGGAGCTGAAAGTCTCGTCCTTCCTCCCCAGCGGCAGTGTGTGTTACAGGGAGCTGAAGGTGTTGTCCTTCCTCCCCAGCGGCAGTGTGTGTGTTACAGGGAGCTGAAGGTGTCGTCCTTCCTCCCCAGCGGCAGTGTGTGTCCCAGGGAGCTGAAAGTGTCGTCCTTCCTGCCCAGCGGCAGTGTGAATCCCAGGGAGCTGAAGGTGCCGTCCTTCCTCCCCAGCGGCAGTGTGTGTTCTTAAGAGAGGAGACAGTTGGTCCCTCTCCTCAGCAGTTAAGTGAGTCCCAGGGAGCCGAAGGTACCGTCCTTCCTCCCCAGCAGCAGGACAATATATTGAAAGGGGAGACAGTCGGTCCCCCTCTCCCCCAGCAGAGATAGTGTCAGGGAGAAGAGCTTGTTGCCCCCTCTCCACAGCGGCAGCGTAGCCCACCAAGGGGAGACATTAAGCTCCCCATGGGCGCAGACGGGACCAGGGTCTCTGCGTCCAAGCTACAGGGAGTACGGACAGCCGGTCCTGCTCCCCAGCGGCAGAGTATTCTACCAGGAGGGGACAATACTTCCCAGCGGCGGCCTAGCCCACCAAGGGGAGATGAGAAGCCCCACAACCATGCAGATTTGCTATTCTCCAGGAGGTTATTTCAAGTATGTAGGGTTTTATAGGAGAAAGCTGATTCCTTATATATGTAAAACCCTACATACATATATAAGGGTGCAGCTTTCTCCTATAATACCCTACATACATATATAAGGGTGCAGCTTTCTCCTATTAAACCCTACATACATATATAAGGGATCAGCTTTCTCCCATAAAACCCTACATACATACTTACAGCACAGGGGGTAGGGACGGTCGGTTCTGCCCCCCAGCGACAGGGCTGTTTAGCCAAAGGAGAGACAGTCTGTCTCCCCCTCCAGCAACCAGGCTCCAACCAGACTACTCCCGTGGTAGTGCTGGCACCAGGACAGAGTACCGCTGGTCTCTGCCCACTCAGCAACCCACCCAGTCCGCTTACCAGTCACCCACACAGCCATGGTGAGGCACCTGGACACGGACAAAGTTCTCCTCTACCCAGGTGTGGTAACCAGTTATTGTGGGTGGGCTGTATTACTGATTGTGTTTTGTGGTTGGGCTGCTGGACTAACAAGGGCACTGACCGGCAGGAGGTCAGATACCCTGTTAGTCTGATTGGTAAAGGGGAGAAGTGTGGCGGAACCAACCTCGCCACTATGCACTGGAGAAAATTATTTTTAAATTCTTACGCTTCTCTTTCTGACTAAATAAAAAAATAAAAAAAAGTATTTAGTAAGTGTGTCTATAGGCTCAGTGTGAAAGCTATACATCTTTAGCCAGAGTGCTTTTTGGAATTCTGATGTATCAGTTTTTAACTCCAACACACCAGATTCAGACTCCTGTGCCCTGCGACAGTTACTGATCATGCAGAAAATAAAGGCACATCTACACCATCAATGTGTGATTAAATAATCTGCTTTGTTCCATGTAGGTAATGACACGGAAGGAGGATATGAGCAGTTGGAAGGAGACAGAAGGTTAGAAGCCTATTACTTAACCAATAATCATCATATGATAATCAGGAAGCTAGCCTCTTTCTCAAAGCATTCATATATCTGGAATAAAGCACGGGTAGGTGCTCTTACAATTAAAGATTATTTTCGCAGGCCAAGTATAAATGGTGCCAAGCATGCTGTCACTCAAGTAAGGATCTATACACTAGACATTGAGTTCTAGTGACAGGGGACCCAACTAGAAAGATCGATTATTTAAGCTGAATAGAAATCTGCAAACAAAACTGATTTGGGAATATTTTACTGACTTTGTTAGTTTGTCTACATTCTTCAAATTGGGGCTATATGTGGTACAGCTTACTATTTAGTAAATATAACCCATGGTTTATCAGTTTGTTAAATAGAGGGATCCAGACTCCAATGTCAATGTTAGCATGGTGCAGGCCTCCACTTAAATGTTTTAAATGTTCTCAATCTCCACCTTGGATCAGTGATGGATTCAGTGAGGGAACACCAGTGCAAATGCTCCCCCAAAGCAGCCAGGGGAGTTAATGTCTTGCTGACAGGAGGCACTAATTGAGGGGTCACCCCCACTCAGTCGCCAAATGTCTGCATTCAAATATGTTAAATGCCCTCTTCCCTCCACACTGGTGTCCCCTCACTGAATCCACCACTGATCCAAGCTGGAGAAGGTGGAGAATGAGAACATTTAAAACATTTAAGTGGAGGCCTGCACCATGCTAACATTGACATTGGAGTCTGGATCCTTCTATTTAACAAATTGATAAACCATGGGTTATATTTACTAAATAGTAAGCTGTAATGCATATACCCCCGATTTGAAGAATGTAGACAAACTAGCAAAGTCAGTCAGGCAGGAATCAGGCTGCCCGTGTCATGGCAGGAGCAGAATGCCTCGCTGTCAGGAATATTCACTAAGGTGGGACTTGTCAGGATTTCATATTGCAATTCAAATGTAAAGCCAAAATAGCTGAACTGGATAAAATCTCCAAGTCAGGGTCCAGGGATGCTTCTAGGTCGACTGCTTCAGCCTTAAATTTGAATTTCACTGTGAATTTGCAACAATTCTCAGTTTAGTAAGTAGCCTTGTGTATGATGTATGATGCATATTTGTAAATTTGCGCATGTATACTTGTGTGGATGTATGTGTCCAGCTTTTTAAAATGTGTATATCCACTCTTGGTCTGTATAAGATACAATTGGGCAGGTTTGTTTTTGTGATCCAGATCTGTCTATGTGCTTGTGGATTTTTTAAAACTTTTTCTCATTTTACAGGGCATCACAACTAGTCTAGTGTTTTCAACGAAAGCGGGTGGCAAACTTTTCTTGGGGTTATTGTAATAATAGTCTTTAATAACGTTGGAATTACCCCTGACTACAACTGTTGGTGGTGAGGATATTTGTTAATCTGTCCGCTCTACAATTCGTTACTGTACTTGTTTCTGTCATTCTTTTTGTATTTTTTGTTGTTGTTTTTGATTATATGTAGTTATTGTTTGGTGCTGTCCTTCCTCCCCAGCGACAGTGTGTATTACAGGGAGCTGAAAGTCTCGTCCTTCCTCCCCAGCGGCAGTGTGTGTTACAGGGAGCTGAAGGTGTTGTCCTTCCTCCCCAGCGGCAGTGTGTGTGTTACAGGGAGCTGAAGGTGTCGTCCTTCCTCCCCAGCGGCAGTGTGTGTCCCAGGGAGCTGAAAGTGTCGTCCTTCCTGCCCAGCGGCAGTGTGAATCCCAGGGAGCTGAAGGTGCCGTCCTTCCTCCCCAGCGGCAGTGTGTGTTCTTAAGAGAGGAGACAGTTGGTCCCTCTCCTCAGCAGTTAAGTGAGTCCCAGGGAGCCGAAGGTACCGTCCTTCCTCCCCAGCAGCAGGACAATATATTGAAAGGGGAGACAGTCGGTCCCCCTCTCCCCCAGCAGAGATAGTGTCAGGGAGAAGAGCTTGTTGCCCCCTCTCCACAGCGGCAGCGTAGCCCACCAAGGGGAGACATTAAGCTCCCCATGGGCGCAGACGGGACCAGGGTCTCTGCGTCCAAGCTACAGGGAGTACGGACAGCCGGTCCTGCTCCCCAGCGGCAGAGTATTCTACCAGGAGGGGACAATACTTCCCAGCGGCGGCCTAGCCCACCAAGGGGAGATGAGAAGCCCCACAACCATGCAGATTTGCTATTCTCCAGGAGGTTATTTCAAGTATGTAGGGTTTTATAGGAGAAAGCTGATTCCTTATATATGTAAAACCCTACATACATATATAAGGGTGCAGCTTTCTCCTATAATACCCTACATACATATATAAGGGTGCAGCTTTCTCCTATTAAACCCTACATACATATATAAGGGATCAGCTTTCTCCCATAAAACCCTACATACATACTTACAGCACAGGGGGTAGGGACGGTCGGTTCTGCCCCCCAGCGACAGGGCTGTTTAGCCAAAGGAGAGACAGTCTGTCTCCCCCTCCAGCAACCAGGCTCCAACCAGACTACTCCCGTGGTAGTGCTGGCACCAGGACAGAGTACCGCTGGTCTCTGCCCACTCAGCAACCCACCCAGTCCGCTTACCAGTCACCCACACAGCCATGGTGAGGCACCTGGACACGGACAAAGTTCTCCTCTACCCAGGTGTGGTAACCAGTTATTGTGGGTGGGCTGTATTACTGATTGTGTTTTGTGGTTGGGCTGCTGGACTAACAAGGGCACTGACCGGCAGGAGGTCAGATACCCTGTTAGTCTGATTGGTAAAGGGGAGAAGTGTGGCGGAACCAACCTCGCCACTATGCACTGGAGAAAATTATTTTTAAATTCTTACGCTTCTCTTTCTGACTAAATAAAAAAATAAAAAAAAGTATTTAGTAAGTGTGTCTATAGGCTCAGTGTGAAAGCTATACATCTTTAGCCAGAGTGCTTTTTGGAATTCTGATGTATCAGTTTTTAACTCCAACACACCAGATTCAGACTCCTGTGCCCTGCGACAGTTACTGATCATGCAGAAAATAAAGGCACATCTACACCATCAATGTGTGATTAAATAATCTGCTTTGTTCCATGTAGGTAATGACACGGAAGGAGGATATGAGCAGTTGGAAGGAGACAGAAGGTTAGAAGCCTATTACTTAACCAATAATCATCATATGATAATCAGGAAGCTAGCCTCTTTCTCAAAGCATTCATATATCTGGAATAAAGCACGGGTAGGTGCTCTTACAATTAAAGATTATTTTCGCAGGCCAAGTATAAATGGTGCCAAGCATGCTGTCACTCAAGTAAGGATCTATACACTAGACATTGAGTTCTAGTGACAGGGGACCCAACTAGAAAGATCGATTATTTAAGCTGAATAGAAATCTGCAAACAAAACTGATTTGGGAATATTTTACTGACTTTGTTAGTTTGTCTACATTCTTCAAATTGGGGCTATATGTGGTACAGCTTACTATTTAGTAAATATAACCCATGGTTTATCAGTTTGTTAAATAGAGGGATCCAGACTCCAATGTCAATGTTAGCATGGTGCAGGCCTCCACTTAAATGTTTTAAATGTTCTCAATCTCCACCTTGGATCAGTGATGGATTCAGTGAGGGAACACCAGTGCAAATGCTCCCCCAAAGCAGCCAGGGGAGTTAATGTCTTGCTGACAGGAGGCACTAATTGAGGGGTCACCCCCACTCAGTCGCCAAATGTCTGCATTCAAATATGTTAAATGCCCTCTTCCCTCCACACTGGTGTCCCCTCACTGAATCCACCACTGATCCAAGCTGGAGAAGGTGGAGAATGAGAACATTTAAAACATTTAAGTGGAGGCCTGCACCATGCTAACATTGACATTGGAGTCTGGATCCTTCTATTTAACAAATTGATAAACCATGGGTTATATTTACTAAATAGTAAGCTGTAATGCATATACCCCCGATTTGAAGAATGTAGACAAACTAGCAAAGTCAGTCAGGCAGGAATCAGCCTCCTGCCATGTGACTATGGTCCCTGGGATGTATTGCCCTTTAAAGACATGATTTGGGCATAATGGATTTGTGTTGTGCTGCTGCTGGCCCTTTAAGAACCATCTGGGGACATACTGTGGAGTTACTGGGTGGCCACCATTTCCTGTATCAAAGGCACATGGTGAGAACAATGGATGAAGCACATGGTGAGAACAATGGATGGTGGCTATTTTAACTCACAGACACTGTTTGGACTTTTCAACACGGTGCC